TAAGTATTACTAGTATTAACTATAAACTTAAGAAGAGAAAAGAGGGAAAGGAGAAGCTCTCTATCTCTTCTTTTTCTTTTATTATATATATATAAGTTTAATATGCATTTAAAGTATACTTAATAAGGCACTAATATAGTGCTTTATACCTACTTAAGCCTACAGCTTAAGTCTATTATATACCCTTCGGAAGAAAAACCTACTTGCCTCTATAAAAAATAAAAAAAAGCTAATATAGTATTTATTAGTAATACCCTACAGCTTAAGTCTATTACATACTTTTACTTAATATATTTACTATTAAGCTAAATTTTCTAGTTATTCTAACTGCTTAATTACCTATCTAGTAATATCTATTAGCTATAATAGCAGTAATAGCATTAAAGAAATAAATTTCTTAATCTTAAGAGAGCTTTATCTTTTAATTAGTCTTCTTTCTCTATTATTTATATTATAATTTAATTATTATAATAATACTAGCAGCTGCTGCTAGAAGTATTAATTTCTTGCAGTAGTTTTAATCTCTACTTATATATAATCTCTACAAATACTTATGCTAAATTCTTATATAGCATTATAGAGGTTATTAAAGCTGCTTGTTAAGGACTAGCCTTACAGGCGACTGCATGTAAGCATTACTAGTAAACCTCTTTTCCAGCTATTATATACACATAGGTCCGATGTGCATCCAATAAGTATCCAACAAGTATCCAACAAGTATCCGACAAGGCACTAACACAGTGCCTTGTGACCACTCAAGCCTACAGCTCGAGTCTATTACACTGCTATACTGTAATAGACTAGCCCTATTAGGCCATGGCGGGTGCCAGCCGCAGTCATCCCGGCGATGCCGGACCCCTTGACTATTAGGCTAAAAGGGTACGTAATAAACAAGCTGCCCTAGCTTGCTTAATCTAGCACTATATAGGTCCTAGCACGGGCTATGTCCCCTATTGCACATCGCACATTGCAGTACATCTATTGCATCGCATCACATCTTTAAGGTGAAGCATAGCTCAGACTATAATATATACTTTAGTAAGAGCAGCAAATTTAAGGGCAGATTTAAGGAGTTATAAGAGCTTTTATTAAGTATTATAATATTATTAAAGAAGGAAAAATACTACTGCTTATTAAAAATTTTATATAGCTATAGTATTATTAAAAAATTTATTAATTTTTTATAAAGCTTTTTAGAGTTAAGTAAAGTTACTATACCTTTATACTAAGAATATACTATAGAGCATGGCAGCAGGGCTTGCTGCATAAAAAGTAGGTTACAGCACATACTCCGTACATTGACAGCATCCGCCCCCGAAATCGGCTCAGCCTGCTCCGAGTACGTACTACCTTTCCCCCCCTAGTGAAAAAAAAACCGGCCCCGATCACCATTCCTCCCCAAAAAGCCAAAAGTTAAAGGTCTACAACACTACCTTTCTTGCGTCTGCACCGAAACCTGCCCTCGGCACGCTCTTCAATCCCATTCATCACAGATCTTCCCTCTCCACGTACACAATGGCGTCAAGGGGTTTCTCCAAGTCTTTGCGATTCGCTCGCCAGCTGGCTGCCCCTCGTGTCCAGCAGCGCTCGTACATGGCCGCCAGACAGCTGGTGCGAGCTGCTACTGCTGCTCGCCCTGCCGTTGGTGTTGCTCAGCAGCATTTTCGTGGTGTCAAGACCATCGACTTTGCGGGTCACAAGGAGGATGTCTACGGTGTGTGATTTTCGCAATTCAATTGATGCCGTGGACCGTGGTTGTAAGCTAACCGCAATGTTCCTCGGACAGAGCGCTCCGACTGGCCTCAGGAGAAGCTCCTTGTGAGTCACCGTCCAAGCTGCTTCAGAAGCAGGCGACAATCCATCATGCAACCTTTCGGAGAGGTTCAATTGGCGCATGCATGAAAATTGCTAACTTGCAGTAGGACTACTTCAAGAACGACACCCTGGCCCTCATCGGCTACGGCTCCCAGGGCCACGGACAGGGACTGAACCTGCGCGATAACGGCCTCAACGTCATCGTCGGTGTTCGCAAGAACGGCAAGTCCTGGAAGGATGCTGTTCAGGATGGCTGGGTTCCCGGAAAAAACCTTTTCGAGGTTGACGACGCCATCTCCCGTGGCACCATTGTTATGAACCTTCTCTCCGATGCCGCCCAGTCCGAGACTTGGCCTGCCATCAAGCCCCAGCTAGTTGAAGGCAAGGTAAGCTGCTTAGCTTCCACTGCATATCGCAACTGATGTCAAGGTTGTCAAATGGACTAAAACGTTTATTCTTTGTTTCTCTTGTCAGACTCTCTACTTCTCTCACGGTTTCTCCCCCATATTCAAGGATCTCACCAAGGTCGATGTCCCCAGCAACATCGATGTCATCCTTTGCGCCCCCAAGGGATCTGGCCGCACTGTCCGATCCCTCTTCCGTGAGGGCCGTGGCATCAACTCCTCCTTCGCCGTTTATCAGGATGTCACTGGCAAGGCCAAGGAGAAGGCGATTGCCATGGGTGTTGCTATTGGCTCTGGTTATCTGTACGAGACTACCTTTGAGAAGGAAGTCTACTCTGACCTGTACGGCGAGCGCGGCTGCCTGATGGGTGGTATTCACGGCATGTTCCTCGCGCAGTACGAGGTCCTGCGCGAGCGTGGCCACAGTCCCAGCGAGGCCTTCAACGAGACTGTTGAGGAGGCCACTCAGAGCCTGTACCCCCTGATTGGTGCCAACGGCATGGACTGGATGTATGAGGCCTGCTCCACCACCGCCCGCCGAGGTGCTATTGACTGGACCCCCAAGTTCAAGGATGCCCTGAAGCCCGTCTTCAACAAGCTGTACGACAGCGTCAGGGACGGCACGGAGACTCAGCGATCCCTGGACTACAACAGCCAGGCCGACTACCGCCAGAAGTACGAGGCTGAGATGGAAGAAATCCGAAACCTGGAAATCTGGAGAGCCGGCAAGGCCGTTCGGTAAGTCAACGGGTCTCTTTTTCCGCCGACAGTTGCCGACTAACGCTTTCTTTTTTTGCAGAGCTCTGCGACCCGAAAACCAGAAATAAATCACGGAGATGTCGTTGCCGTTCGATTGTTCACACAAGGGAGTCTTTGGAAAATGGGCTGGCTTGACCTTGAATCCGTACTTGCTACATGACTGCTGAGAGGGAGGGTATTGCTGTGCAGGACTGCGATAGTGAATAAAAGTCTCGAGTATGTGATGTTGGATCTGGTGTTCAACGATGCTGGGTGTATTTGTCTGCGTGTACTTGTTCTGGTGGAGTGGATTGGAAATGCCATGCGCCCTTGGCATGGTGGACGCCGATGGTCGGCGCGGAGGGGCAAACAAAATGGGGCAATCATTTAGTTATGAGTTCCGAGAAAGATTGCTACCATGACTGCGCACCAGCTAAAACCCCATCTCACCTCACCACCTTTATTCCATCCGACCTTGGATACTTGCGTCTCTTAATTCCTCTGGGCTCCCCATCAAGCATACTGTGCGTGAAACCCAAATGGCTGATATATCCACCACACTGCCTCTATCGCGTTCGTCCGTCCTGTCTGCCCACGAGCTTATAAAAGCACACATTTACCGCACCCCCGTGCTCACGAACACGACCCTCTCTACCCTTGCGTCCACGCCGCAGTCTCCCGATGATCTCCAGGGCACCCGTTTTGAGGGCAGGACGCCGGCAAGGCCCAAGATGAGGCTGTGGTTCAAATGCGAGAATTTGCAGAGAGTAGGCGCATTCAAGGTCCGAGGGGCGTTCCACGCGCTGGGCAGGCTGACGATGGAGGAAGGGTGGGCCGAGGGCGGCGGAAAGGAGAGGGGTGTCGTGACGCACAGTTCCGGTGAGCGACGACGAGATGCGCGGTTTTCTCCTTGCCACCCGCACGGCGGCCGGCTTCAGGGGAGGGAGGGAGGGAGGGAGTGCTCGCTTGCTTGCTGACCAGCCAACTCGCGCAGGCAACCACGCGCAGGCGCTCGCCCTGGCAGCGCGCGAGTCGTGCGTCCGGGCGCACATCGTCATGCCCACCGTGTCGGTGCCGCAGAAGGTCGCGGCCACGAGGGGCTACGGCGCGGCCGTCTACTTCAGCGGCAGCACGTCGGTCGAGCGCGAGGCCGTGGCCGACAGGGTGATTTCCGAGACGGGCGCGCGGCTCGTCCCGCCGTACGACCACCCGGACATCATGCTCGGGCAGGGGACCATGGGGATCGAGCTCCAGGAGCAGGTGGCCGAGCTGAAGGCCCGGACGGACCCGTACGCGTCCGCCGGGACCGCGGGCCTGGACGCAATCGTGGCCCCTTGCGGCGGCGGCGGCATGCTCTCGGGCGTGGCGCTCTCCGCGGAGGGAACTGGCGTCCGGGTCTTCGGGGCGGAGCCTAGCTTCCAGGGGGCCGACGACGGCAAGCGCGGCTTCGAGTCGGGCCGGAGGGTGGAGGCTGTGAGCTCGCTCACCCTGGCGGATGGGTTGAGGACGCCCGTGGGCGAGTGGCCGTGGAAAGTGATTTACGAGAGGAGGCTGGTGAGCGGCATGTATAGCGTTACGGAGGAGGAGATCAAGAAGGCCATGAGGCTGGTACTGGAGAGGATGAAGGTGGTGGTGAAGCCGAGCGCCTGCGTCGGCCTGGCGGTTGCCCTGTTTGACGAGGATTTCAGAGCCATGGTGGAGAGGGAGGGAGGCGACACGGGCTGGGACCTGGGTGTGGTTTTTAGTGGTGGGAATGTCGGCGTCGATGCCATTGGGAGCTTGTTTGCTGAGTAGCAGCCGGTGATGGCGGCAAAGGGGGGGGGAGCAGACGAGGCATATTCGTTGTTCACGCGGACGCTCGACATGGCTGAGGGCGCCGGCGACAAGCCTTGCCGACGACAAGATTGCCCACGGGGGCGCCTCTTGGAGGAGATTCACAAACAGACGCACCGCCCGCTCTCTTGGGCGGCGTCCAGGACCAAGCAAGCCACATGTTCTCGCGCACGCGGTCCCCGGGCAGGAGGATGAGCCCGCCGTGCCCGTCGTAGCGATCCGCCCTCCCGGCCTCGCGGGCCATGATGTTGTCGGTCCACCGGCCCGGGCGTGCTCGTGTTTGCTCGAGGGGCGTTTGCTCGCCGGGGGAGCAGCGCGCGGAGGCAAGCCCCTTTCAGTGTCGCAAATGGCTGCCGCATCTCTGTCATTTCGAAAGATGCAAAGGGTGCCTGCTCGTCTGAAGGGCGTTGCAGCTGCGGTTTCTCAATGTCCACCGACATCCCGTCGACGTGGAGGGTTCTGGGGCAGAGGCAGATTGTTCAAGGCGGCGGGGACATCACTCTACACACGGGACCGAGACTACCGGGGAGAAAGAGGAGTCGTGACTGCAACGGAAGGGCGAAGCATTTCCTGGAAGCTGTGTGCTGCAAGGAGAGCATGGTGCACCTCTTTTGTATAACGAGACGCTGCGATGGACACGGGCCGGAGTCGGAGCCCGATCCGGGGCACCTCGAGGCTCGGAGGAGTCGGAGTCGTGGGCATAAGCGGAGCAGAGCAGCCTTGGCCGCTAGCCTGAATTCGGGCTGCGGCGGGTTGAGCCGCCCCTAAAACTCGCACGTCACTTAGCAAACGAGCACGATTGTCGGCCTGTTTGCCGCTTCACACAAAGCTTCTTTGTTTCTGACCGTCAAGTTCCAGCAAGTTGCTGACAAGAGGCCGAAAAGTAAATGCGAATGCGTTGCCGCTTCCATCAAACGACGAGGCCATGGGCGTTCAGCGGCCGGGCACATGGTCATTGACATACCCCACTTGCACTTGCCCTCCAACGTCATCCTTCATCGTGCCTTCCCTCCCACATGTCAGCTGTCAAACGGTGCAAGAAGGCAGGAACGTTCTGACGGCCTCAGTATTCGTCCCCCCAACATCCCCATCCCCATCCCTTCCAGAAAATGTCCCTCACCAGCGCAACGCCAGAGGCCGCGGCCAAGGAGGCAAAGACGGCCTCGTTCGCACTGGCTTCGCTGCCGGCCTCGGCGCGCAACGCAGCCCTCGATGCCATCCACGCCGCCCTCTCCGCTTCCAAACATGACATTCTGGCCGCAAACGCCCGCGACCTCGAGCTCGCCAAAAAGGCCGCGGTCGACGGCGCCCTCGGCGAGGCCCTCGTCTCCAGACTGGACCTCGCCAAAAAGGGCAAGTGGGAGGACATGCTGAAGGGCATCTTGGACGTTCGGGATTTGGAAGACCCAGGTACGTCATGCGCCTGCTGATCCTCGGCCAAACAAAGGTTGTAGGCAGCTGTCTAACCTCTTCGCAGTCGGCAATATTCAATTGCGCACAAGGCTCGACGACGACTTCATCCTCGAGCGGGTTTCCTGTCCCATTGGTGTGATTCTCATCATCTTCGAGGCACGTCCCGAGGTCATTGCCAATATTGCCAGTCTGGCTGTCAAATCTGGAAACGCTGCCATTCTCAAGGGTACGCTCTGGGTCAAAACATCTCTCTACCCCCCCTCTTCTCTGTTTCTCACCCATGTGCACATACATATCCAATACCAAACAAAAGGCACCGCTGATGAAGAGATCCAGGTGGCAAGGAGTCCACCGAGTCATTCGTCGCCATTTCAAAGGTCATTTCGTCGGCCCTCGAATGGACAGAGGTCCCCAACGGAGCGATCCAACTCGTCACCACCCGCGACGCAATCGCCCAGCTTCTCGCCCAGGACCGCTACATCGATCTCGTTATCCCCCGCGGATCCAACGAGCTCGTCCGTTACATCAAGGAATCGACCAAGATCCCCGTGCTCGGGCACGCAGACGGCCTCTGCTCAATCTACCTGACCGCCACTGCTGACCCCAAAAAGGCAATCACCGCCATCGTCGATGCCAAGACGAGTTATCCCGCCGGGTGCAACAGCCTCGAGACCCTGCTCGTCCAAGACACCGCTCTCGACACCTCGTTCCCCGGGGTGGCCGCCGCCCTCGCAGCCAAGGGCGTGTCGTTACGCTGCGACCCCGCCAGCAAGGCTGCCCTGGCGTCCCTGGCCGACGCCGACGTCAAGGCCGCGACCGATGCCGACTTTGATACTGAATTCCTGAGCTTGACCCTCGCTGTAAAGACTGTATCGAGTGTTGACCAGGCCATTGAGCACATCAACACCCACGGCTCGCACCACACCGACTCCATCCTCACGGCGCATGCTGCCGAGGCCGAGCGCTTCATGAACCAGGTTGATTCTGCAGGCGTGTACTGGAACGCCTCGACGCGCGTAGCGGACGGCATGCGGTACGGTTTCGGCACAGAAGTCGGCATCAGCACCAACAAGATTCATGCGCGTGGGCCTGTTGGTCTCGAGGGCTTGACCATCTACAAGTACAAGATCAGAGGGGACTACCAGGCCACGGCTGACTATGGTGACGGAGAGGGCAAGCGGCCGTGGAAGCATGAGAAGCTGCCTATTGAATGAGTCAATGACATCAGAACAATACCCATACCCACACTGAGCCCGCATAGAGATGAATGCCGACATGCAAACAAAGTAAAGAGAAACCAAACGTCACCTACATCAGGAGTTCAAGACGTGATGTATACCGTAGAAAAATTTGTCAGAATTGCAAGATCCCTGTTCAACCCGTAAAATCAAGCAAAGCAGTCCATGCACAATCCGACAGCCGCCTCTTGGCAAATCTTCGCTCTCGATTACACGCCGCTTACATTGCCCGACACCCATTTCTTCACAACTGCCAAGTGCACATGTTCATAATGATGGTCCAATCCACCCGCATAGGGTCCTGCTCAGGCATTCATGTCATACTGCTTAATCAGCTCGGCTAGCTTGTTGCCCTCGCTCTTGAAATCCAGCAACGACGCACTCATTACTTGATATCGCACCCTGGCCGACGGAAAATTTTAGCCTCAAGTCTTGTGCGGACAGGGGATACTCCACGGTGCAAAAAGATGACGGTACATACCTCTGCGTGTCACCAAAGTTGTCCATCTTGGCTCGACACCTGAAGTTCAACTTCTTGCAATTCACCGCCTCAAATGCCGCCATGAACTTGGCGTCGTCGTTCTCCTTGAGCTCCATGAGCTGGTTGGCCGACATGCCAAAGATGGCTTCGCCCGTCTCGTTGAAGCAGTTGAGCCACTGGTGGCTCGTGTGGTCTGCTACGTTGAGCGACACGATGTAACGGTAATCGGGGCGCTCGTGTGACAAGCTGCACTTCTCGCAGTACCAGCCGTCTCCGGTCTGGACAACCTTCTTGTTGCAGCCTTCCTTGGAGCAGGCGGGGTAGCAGAAGTTGTCTTGCTTGACAAAGACGATCGTGGCCTTGATGGCGTAGTAGGCGGGGGCGTCCATGCCGAGATTCTCGTCCTTGACCTGGGAGATGGTCTTGTTCTCGTCTTTGCGGCCCGCGGCGTTGCCCATGCTCGCCAGGTTCTGGTGCGTGGCGAAGTTGTCTGTTCGGCCGGAGGAATCGTACCAGCCCTTGAGGCGGTGGGCGTCGGGGATGTCCGGGTCGACCGTCATGGTGCCCGAGGATAGGAGGCTGAGGCTCTTGCCGCCAAAGTCGGAGACCTTGGTGCCCTTGAAAGCGACTACCGATTGGGGGTTGGCGTCAAAAGAGTTGGCTGTCTTGCCCCAGACGGTTACGCGGACAGAGTAGCCCGTGTCGTCGACCAGAGTGAGTTCTCGCTTCTGGAAGGGCTTGCCCGACGACTTGGATGTGATTTCGCTGACTTCGCCAACATCCTTCAAAACGCCAATCACGTCTACAGTGTTGTCCTTTTCGACATTTTGTAGCTCCTGGATGGTGCAGAAGTTGAAGCGGACCTGGGGCACGTCCGCCTGAACCTCGGCCTTTTCGATTCTCGTGTCTCGCTCGAATGTGATTTCGTAATCGTTTGGTAGGTTGGAGAATTGCTTCTTTGCCAGATTGACGCGACAGGGGCTGGAGATGTAGTATACAGAGCCTTCTTGGAGCAGGTCGTAAAACGCGTCGCACTGGTCGTTGAAACCGGTGGCCTTGATCTCGCCACTGTTGTCGAGGAGGTTCACGCTGAAGAGCTTGCCCTCTCCCGTGGGCTTATGCCATGTCTTGATATCCGACTTCATTGTGACTCGCGCCTTGATTGTCCACTTGTGCTGGAAAGGTGAGAGACCCTCGATTGGGTAGATGTTGCCGTTGTCATGAGCCGCTGGCCTTGAAGGCATAGGCTGGTGCTTGCTCTCCTCCTTCTTGTTTCCGTAAAAGTCATTACTAGCGATGGTCTGGTTCTTGGCCTCATTGGTCTCGACGGCCGTTGGGCTGCCAACCTTTTCTTGCACGCCGAGGGACTCGATGACCTCGAGGTCGATGATGACGAGAATGCTGGCTGCAGTTAGGCACACAGTAAAGCTTCATCTCCCGAGTGAGTCGACGCACTTTTTTCCTTTCAAATTCTGGGGGTTGTACTGCTTGACGCGAGCGAAGCTGCCTCGAACAAGTTTTTCATCGTGAATGACGTGATTTGCCTGCGTTGCAAGCATGGCCTGTACATAGTGGTCGCCGTCGCTCATGACCAGTCTGTATCGCTCACCTCCAGTGGCGGAAGGACCCATAGGCTTGACTTGGAGGCACTGCATGACAGGGACGGGAAAAAGCTTCGTCGCTTTATCGATATCATTGAAGATGACACTAGGGCCAAGGTTAACAACCTATTGTGTCCATGCCGAGGCCGTCCCCCGATGGCAGATGGGGTGCAGGCAGACAGACGTACTCAAGGCAACCCCTTGATAGGGCAGATGCGGCAGACGCGGCGTCCATGATGGCTGGATGAGTTCGAATTGACGATGTAGACTTGCTTGCGCTCGTCTCGGCGAAAGTTTGCGAAGGTGAGGGGCGGACATGTGTGAATTCCACATGTCGCGACGCGTCGCACCGCGTGTAGCGGAATTTAATGGCCCCGCAGGCAGGAGCTGCGGCCGCATAGACAAGCGCTATCTAGTCGGCACCTGTCCGGGGTGGCGGGTGGCGGCCGGTCCTGCAAACGGCTTCTGGTCACTCCGCGTTCCCAAGTTGGAACCGTCATTATCTGGACCGGCATTGCTCCGACAACTATGTTTCTATGCTGTTGTTTCTGGCCTATGTTGGCGTATGTAGCTTCTGATTGACACAATGCGACTTTTTTCCCGTAGCTGTCAAGTGCCTTGTTGACGCAGCTACCATCCTCAACACGACGTCGAGCTTGTTTTGCACAGCCCACTTCTGCTTCCCTAACTACTCCCACTTGCCAAGTGCGCAGCGCAGCTCGGCACTAAGTAGGCTGGCTACAAGCTTTCATTGTGCAACCTTGCCTTGCCCACGGTCGCAATACTTGCACTTTTGGATTTTCCAGCTACCCATCATGACTGAAGTCGACGTCGCCACCAAAGCTCCTGAGAGCGACGCTCAGGGGCCGCAGACTGAACAGACGCCGGACATCATCACCCCTGCAGAAACGCCAGTTCAGACTGGAGCGCATTGCGTCACCGACCGCCCAACCCGTGAGTATAACGTGTCTGGTGTGGAATTCTCCATGTGTCGCTGCTAACCTGGCCTCCAGCTAGCGGACAGTCGTCGACCGGCGAGATCATTAAACTGAACGACATTGACGTAGGCACCCAGCTACACCAAGCCATATCCGTTACCTTTCTAAACTCGTTGGCAGGTCTACATTTCCAAACCAGCCGACTACCCCCATGCCCCCTCAAAGCTCCTCCTTCTCCTCAGTGGCGGCACTGGAATCAACTCAGTCAACAACCAAATTCAAGCCGATAAATTCGCTTCAGCGGGCTACCTGGTACTGATGCCAGACCTCTTCGCCGGCGACAGCGCCCCCATATCCACCGCCATCTCCGACGACTCCTCCTCCGTCATTGGGCAAGTCAAACTGCAGGCCGTCGGGGTCGTCAAGTCTTTCTTTATCGACATGTGGCTGGCCCGAATCACCCCGGACAAGGTTATGCCCATTTTGCACAAGGTCATTGAAGCCGCTCAAGACCAGTATGCAGACGCCATTAAGAACGGGGAGGGGATATACGCAGTCGGCTACTGCGTTGGCGGGCGATTCATCCTCCTGCTGGCTCAGGAGACCGAGGAACAGGGCAGCGATGAGGAGACAGCAGCGTTGAAGAGCGGTCCATATATCAAAGCAGGAGCTGTGGCGCATGCTGCGTCTGTGACGCCAGATGATTTCAAAAATTTAAAGGCGCCGCTGAGTTTTGTGTGTGTTGAGGACGACAACCTGTTCCCAGACGACGTGAGGAAGGCGGGTGAAGATGCCATGTCCCGAGCCGATCTCGAGCACGAGGTACAGGTCTATCCTGGCGTCCCACACGGTAAGCCCTTCTTTTCTTGCTGTGATTTTTTTTCTCCGTCCGACCCTTGGTGTTTCCGTGCTCACCAAGCCTAGGTTTTGCTGTAGTTGGCGCATATGCAGATGGCGCCATTACCGAAGCGCAAACGACTGCGTATGAACAAATGTTGAAATGGATAAATGAACACTGATGCCGATAAAGACGAGTGATGAGTCCAGGAGACTTTTTTTTTTTTTTTTTTTTTTAAAAATCTGGTCATTTCAAACTCCTTTTTGGCCCTTGTTTCCTTGAAGAGAATCAATCATGCCTAGGAAATCGTGCATACAATCTTGCCTGTATTCTTCGCGTCCTCCATGTACTTGTGTGCCTCCTGAATCTCCTCCCACGGCATCACCTTGTCCACAATGATCTTGAGCTTGCCAGACGCAAACTCGGGGCAGTACGTCTCCAGTCGGTCCCTCAACTCGCCCTGATACTGCTCGTCCCGGCTGCGCAGCGTGCTGCCCTCGATGCGAATCCGCTTGTAGAGGATCTGCGAAATATCCGCACAGGGCACCTTGCCACCGCTCAGCGTTCCCAGCAGCACGATCCTGGCGTCCCTCGCCGCCACATCCAAGTTCTTCTGGAAGTAGTCGGCCCCGACAAAATCAACAATGTAATCCACGCCCCTACCGCCCGTCTTGTCCTTGATCTCCTTGACCCAGTCCGTGGTCTTGTAGTTGAAGGCTGCCGCAGCACCAATCTCCCGCGTGACAAAGGCGCACTTGTCGTCCGATCCTGCCGTCGCATACACCGCGGATGCCCCCGACGCCCTGGACAGCTGGATGCCGGCGATGGACACGCCCGAGGCGCCGGCGTGCCACAGAATAGACTTGCCCCTTTCGAACCCCAGCACCATGTGCAGCGCCTGCGTGGCGGTAATCCAAGCCTCGGGGACGGCGGCCGCCTGCTCAAAGCTCATGTGGCCCGGCTTCTGCAGCAGCATCCTGGAGCTGACGGCAACGCACTCGGCGTAGGCGCCGCCGTAGGCCAGCCCGAGCACCTCGTCGCCGGCCTGGAAGCCCCCGTGATCCCCGGGGCCAAGGGACTCGATGGTGCCGCTGAACTCCACGCCCAGTGTGGCGGGGGCTTGCGGCGGGAGCGGGTACATGCCACGCCGTTGGACAATGTCCATGCGGTTGATGCCGAATGCCTTGATTTTGACAATGGCCTGGCCGTGGCTGGCGGTTGGCTTGGGCGTTTGTGGGTTGATGAAGAGGGCATCTCGTTCGCCTCTGCCGCCTTTGATGTCTGGTGAGAGTGGGACGGGTCAGACGTTTACGTTTCTCGTTGCATCGCTGGTGTAGCCTCTTTTTTTTTTTTCTGTGTCTTTTCCTTTAGGGCAGGGAAGACGGACCAACCGCTTTCATTGTCGACATGTCTATTCCTTGTTTATCTGTGCGGCAATTTTGAGTCGGGTTTGGAGGACCCACGGTGTGCAGACGAGGGAGTTGGACCAAGATGCTTTTCTTCCTTCTGAGTGTGGTGTGCGTGTGCGTGTGCGTGTGCGTGTCTGTTACCGAAGAGGTTGCAATGATGATTCATTTCAGGTAGTTATTTGGAGATCCGTTGATGGCTAAGCGCAATTACTAATGCCACCAGACTCGATCCGGCTGCGTCAAGTGTGCGTCAATCGTTCTTGGGTGCTTGGGACCTGCAACGGTAGCGGTTGTAGCCGTTGGGCAGGACTAAGTCTAGAGTCTAGGGCGAGGCATTCATGGCGGGAGACTGCGTGTGTTCGCGTCAAGGACTCACGGGCATACATACGCGCTTCAACGTGGTGTCGATGAAACAAAGAATCCGTCTCGGCGGTCACGAGATCAAGGGCTCAACTCAACGACCGTGCTGAGGCCTTGACTTGCGCCGCCGACTCCCGACCATGGAGAACTGAAAACAACGGCTGCTGCTCGGATGGCCTTGAGGAAGTGCTATAACTTATAACTTATTACCATGGGCAGTCGATCCGACGCTGACGTTGGCGCAGCCCGCTTCCTCCTTGAATTTCCTCCCAACCGTCAACGTCTTCCCGGTCTCTCCACCTCCTGCTAAATCCTCGCTTTGGGGTGCCAGCCGAAGACCGCACATGGCCCGTCAACACTTGTTCACCACGCCGCTCTGCTTCCTGAACCTCATCCTAGCGCTTTTTTCGCCCTTTCTGCCGGTGCTTTCCGAGCCGATAATACAAAGGCCGACGTCGTCGATGCTCAGCGGGTCAAATAGTACCGTGCCGGATTATGTCAAGCGTCATGGTATGAGTCCGCCCTGTTGGCCAGAGCAGGTTCACGACCGATGCGCATAGGCATACCGTTGCCCTCTGCCCTCGCCTATCTGCCTTCAAGCCGAGGCTAATATTTGCCATTCGTGCAACTTCACAGCGCCGCTAATCTGGCTACACTCGGAGGACCCGTTCCGCCCGGCAGACCTGCTCCAACACATCCGTCACACGACGCCCACGGTCAACCAAGTGCCCGTCTCTGGCCTGCCACATCTCCATCTGAACAACCTCGCCCTACTGAACAACGTGAGCAGCGGCCAGGTTGCCTTGACCTCCAATGACGATGTCACAGCTTTGCCCGACTGGCTGTTCGGGGAGCCGCCAGATGCCTCGGGCAGGATTGTGAATGCTACACCCTGTGTTGTGATTCTAGTTGAACAGAGCCCCCGAGATGTCGATGCTTTCTTCTTCTACTTCTACTCGTACGACCGAGGCGCAAACATCACGCAGGTACTGGAGCCGCTTAACCGCTTGATAGAGGATACAGAGCACGGGATGCATTTCGGAGACCACGTTGGAGATTGGTGAGCGTTCTTCTGTCTTGCGTGCTTGACGACTCATCCTGATGTGCCGTTGCAAAGGGAACATAACATGATCCGTTTCCGTGATGGAAAGCCGAATGGCATCTACTACAGTCAGCACTCGGGCGGTGCTGCGTATGACTGGGATCACGAGCAGCTTTCCATGAAGGACGGACGGGTGCGTGGGCAGATGACACATTGCGAGCCTTACTGATATCATCTAACTCTGGCCTGTACTGTAGCCTCTTGTCTTTAGCGCATACGGCTCCCACGCAAACTATGCCTCATCCGGGTTGGTCGCATCTCCTTTCCACAACCCTAGGACTATTCCCCCATGTCTGTTGACGCCGATCTCTAATTATCGCCGTGTAGAGATCATGTTCATGACACAGTATTGGTGGATTACTGCAACGCCGGCCAACTCTGGGACCCAACTCTTTCAGCGTATTTTTATCACCTCGAACCTACCAATTTCACCCTGACGCGCCTTTTCCCTGCTCCGCCCAGCCTCCCCGCCCCTGCCGACCTCACCTCATTCTTCTACTATACTGGAATCTGGGGTGATGCCCAATATCCAGATGACCATCCCCAGCAGAAGACCGTGCCATACTTTGGCCTGAAACGATTCGTGTCTGGGCCACAGGGCCCGATCGCGAAGCAACTTGTGCGGAAAGGACTGTTCCCCGACCAACGAGCGAGGAAGCCGTGGTTACAATGGGTTGTCGGTGTCTTCATGTCATGGTACCCTTGCTGTATACGTGGATGGAGGAAATGGGTGTCCATGACAGTCGTTGTAGGGTCTGCGATATTTTTGGCATTTGGAGTGAAGCACACGGTGAAAAGTTATAGAAAGAAAGGATACAAAAGGATAGAGACGGACATACCGTTAGAAGACTTGGTCCACAGAGAAAGAATATAGAGACTCTGCACCACACCGGAGCTGGCTAAAAGACGGCCAAGGCGAATTGTCATGTTTGAGTGCACGCTCCAAATTCACCAGAATAGTCCGTAGCACTCCCAGCATGATCAACGGTGCGCGTAGCCGCAAAGACAGCTCCCCGGCGTCATTATATGCACATGTACTGAACGCACTACTTCTACGTAATTGACATGATACTAGGGTGTGTGTGCCCTTGCCAGATACGGCATGCCACGGAGGCGGGCGGTCACTACGCCTACGCATGGCCGGCCGAAGCAAAGGGTGTTCACTTGGCACGAAGCCGTTCCGTCGACATGTACAATTGTGCAATTCTCAACGCGGCTCCCTGGATATAGGTCGCACTGGCCGAGCACAAGTGGTTCGAGGCGCAACTGCCAACTGCGCTTGTCAATTCTAAACGGTCAACCTATACGGAGGTACATGTACACGGTTCGCGGCCAACAGCATTCTGTGCATCTCTCAGTGCTGTGTCCCTTTTTAGTGCTTCTTCTCCTGGTCCTCCATGAACTTTCTGTAGCTTGGTTAGCCGCTGGGTCGTCGGGACTGGTCGACGGAACAACGCACTTGATGAAGTCAGCCTCGTCGGAGCTGGAGGCGTTGATCGGGGGAGTCGCGGCGGCGGTCGGTTTCTTAGGGCCAGAGACGGAATAGTAGGCGCCGCCGAAAAGGGTACCGAGGATGGCCATGGCCAGCTGTGAGCAAGTTAGTTGATGGCGGTTCCGGGTCGACGGTGTCTGGAGCGTTAGGCTGGGGACAAAAAACGAACGTAGTGGCCGCCGACTTGCCGGCCAGCAATGTTGTAGGTTGCGACTCCGGCCATTGTGACAACGAGATTGTGTGACGGAGAATTGGACAGCGCGAATTGGTGATTGTGAGCGAGGTACAAGTCGGCCGCTCGAGTTCGCTCCAGGGATTTACGTTGCTGGCTAAAGAGCGACTGTGGACGGCTAAAGTCCGGCTACGCTGCAGCTGCACCGGCGGTGGTGGGAAGACGACGTCACCGGGGCAGCCAGCCGGCTCTGCGGGTGATCCCGGTCGCGCCTTCCATCGCCAACCTCCAAGATTGAACGACGGGCAAAGCCTCGAGACTTTGATTCCTGCTTGAAAGCCCATATGTAGTAAAATCTCCCTTTCTCGAACCGGTACGCACGACTTCGCCATACGCTATGCCTTGGTGGGGGAAATCGAAGGAGCCCAAGGAACCTACGGAACCTGCGGCACCCAGAGCTGAGCCATCGCCAGACGCCAACGGCAGGCAACGGGAGCAAGTTTTCGACCCAGACAAGCTTCCACCAAGACAAAAGCTGCCTAAGCGGCTTCAAAGCATTATTGAAAAGTCGGATCAAGACAGCCGCTTCTTCGATGACGTAATTGATGGATAGTAAGCTCTGAGCATGCGACCTTGTTGCCATGCGCGCGCGTGCTAATCATTGTAAAGTGCCCCGGCTACTACCGACACAAATTTACGATATGCTGCCTATGCCAGCAGGTTTCGGACTATACTTCTCTCTGCGCATCGCTACGTTGCATATACATCCGATATTGGAGAATCATTCCGACCAGTAGCACATCCTCATATCGTCCGCGCTGCATATGGTATTTCTTGGCTTTATATTCTGGGCGATGTGTCTCATGAAGGATACCGGGCGTACTGGCACAACCAGCGCGTTTTGAACCCGCAACTTTGCTTATCACCTCACCAGCAAAAGGTTACGGGGCTGCCGGCTGAGAATGGTTTAAAACTTGAACCTGGCGTTGTTAGTCCTTTGGAGGACTGGCGAACTGTCATGGTCCAAAGAGCAATCTTCCAAAGTATTGCCAGTATGGGTCTTCCCGCATTTACAATCCACAGTGTCGTCAGATATTCTGGGAGGGCTCTGAAGAATGCGAAAAACGCCACTATTCGCACTTGGGGACCTATCGGCCTGGGCTTGTCTGTAGTTCCCTTCCTGCCCAGACTGTTCGACGAGCCGGTTGAGAACGCTGTAGAATGGGTATTCCACAGGGGTTTCGAAGCTGTTGGTGGCCAGAAATACGTGGGATCTGCGCCGTCTACAGGGCGGGAGGATATGCTCAATAAACCGATCAAGCCGAAGACGGAATGAAGAAATGATTCTGCGCCCAATATTATGGGCCTTTCTTGGGTTGGGGGGGGGGGGGGGAGGTGGACTCCTTGGTGCTGTGCTGAAACCAATCATTGTACATCTACTGTAGTTGAATCGACCCCATCACAATTCATGCCGCGGATATGTCAGAGAGCAGCGGCTGTTCGAGAAAGATACCCGTAACCGGCCTGCACGGAATGCGAACATGTGCATTACCCATAGAAAATGAACGGGGTCGACGCTGGAGTCGTATTTCCAGCTCGCCGGTGCAAATGATCTCGCTGCGAAAATTGAACAGAGTCAGTCTAGACCAAGGCCAAAGCGCTTGGTAGTTGAGGCGAGGTGCAAGCGCCAGTGCGGAAGGTACGTAAGCGCGGCTTGGCCCGTCGCGCCTTCCATAAGCTTCTTTCGCCTCTCAAAACCAAAGGCTCACACACTGCACATATGACCTCAGCCGCCACCAGCCTGGAGCTCTGACGACGCTCGGTCTGCCTGGCCACAGGTCACCTAATCTCTCTTTGTCTGTACTTATATATCTACCTTGTCACTCTGCCTTCTGCCATCATGCTGCCGTCGTCGGATTCCTCTGCTCAGGAAACGAGCTACATCATGAGAGACGAAGCCGACGCTACGTTAGTCGGCAAGCATTGCCAATACGAATACTGCAATCAACTCGACTTCCTGCCCTTCCTTTGCCAGTCCTGCAGCAAGACCTTTTGCCTAGATCATAGAACAGAGTCATCACACAAATGCGCAAACCCCGGAGCGTGGGCGGAATGGAAGAGACAGGTCAACTTGGCCAAGCCATCTATTGGCCAAGGCAAGCCTTTACGGGATACGGTATCCGAAAAGCCCTGCGCGTCGCCAGAATGCAAGACCGTCGTGGGCACGTCTTTGACCCCCGGGGTGCACTGCGACTCCTGCAATCGCGACTACTGCTTGAAGCACAGATTAAAGGAGGATCACAACTGCAAGAATTTGGTACCCGTCGGCGCCCGGCCGATGCAGATCGACGTCGCGCAAAAGACCCGCTCGGCGCTTGACAGGCTGAGAGCTTGGAGTTCAGCCAAGAAGGAACAGGCCGGCAGGGCGCTACCGAAACCAAAACCTAGCTCTGCTGCGGCTAGAGTAGTGGCCACCAAGAAGCTCAAAGAGACGGCAAGGGGCGACAAGAAAATCGCAGAGGAGAAGCGCATCTATCTGTACGTTGAGGCTGAGGCAGAAACGGCCAAAGCCAAACTGCCCAAGGGCGATTTCTTCTTCTCCAAAGACTGGGTCGTCGGTCGCCTGCTGGACCAGGCAGCAACTGGTTTGCAGGTCCAAAATGTGAACAACCAGAGCTCCCATGAGAAGGACAAGCTCCGTGTATTTCATGTGGAGGGAGGGAGAATTTTGGATTACGGCGAAAAGATTGGATCAGTATTGCAGAGCGGGAACACTGTTGTCTTGCTGAGGGGCGTAGGACCGCCGGCTGACCTGATAGAAGTGTGAGGCAGCTTGCCTCGCAACATTTTGGCGAACAAATCGATGGGAGAGTTTGAGCAACGTGCGCATCCAGAACAAGCTCCCATGTAATATTGATTATGATGTCAGAATTTTTATTAGAATACATGTCAAGCAATGAGACCAAGTGTTTGGCCCAATGTCCAAATGGCGCAAAGCCTAAGTGTGTCACGTGTTCTCGTGATTTTATGACGGAGTGAGTGCATTTGCCTCGCCAGAGATGATGAACCCTCATCCGTCACGCTCGCTTCCCAACTTCAGAATGCGTTTCTCCGGAAGCTCGAATCCAGATGCCTCCCCATATTCCGCGCAAGCGATTGCGCGGCTCGCCCGGTAGAGAGGAGTCCAAGTCTGGAGCGGGCGCAAAGAAAGCCGCCAAGCCCAGTAAGCCAAAGTCCACGCTGTACGACGACTTGGACGCGACTACGACGTCGGGCTCGGCAAAGATCTCCGAATCATTATTCAACAGCCTGGACGATGACAGCGACAGTTCCTTGTCTTCCTTTTCCGATGAGGACTTCCAAGATGTGCCCCTCGCAAAGCGACCCAAGGTCAACCCGGACTCCTCGGAAGCCGAGGACGAGGACGAGGACGAGGGCGTCGAATTCGAGGATGTCAAGGCTCCGGCTCAGGCCGATTCGACAGTTCCAATCGTCTCCGGAGACCTTGAGCTAACCCTCAACAAAGACGCTCGACTGTCATTGACAAACGCGTTCGGAGACAAGAAAGGGCCGTCAAAACTTGAGCGAAAGGTGCGGAATGCTACACACAGCCTCCATGTTCTGTTCCTCCTTTGGCACAATGCTCTTCGAAATTCATGGTTGTGCGACCCCGAAGTCCAGGCCATCATGATCTCTCATCTGCCGCCTAAGATGTGGCATGAGGTCGAGCGTTGGAGGCACAGCTCGGGTCTCATCAAGGGATCTCCACTACGAGAACTCTCTATCCGCAGAGCCAAGAAGAGTACGAAAGACACAGCAAAGGAGAGTAAATCTCGTGATTGGGGAAAAGCAGCAAAACGACTCGAAGAAGGCGCTGTCGACATGAGCCATGGCGATCCTTTGTTCAGGTTAATGCAATCGTTGGCTTCGTGGTGGAAACAACGGTTTAAGATCACGGCCCCCGGACTAAGGAAATGGGGCTACATGTCATTAGAGAGACTGGACAGGCTGACAAAGGCACATAAAGACGAATATGCCGACTGCAATCGCTTTGGAGAGAGAGTAGCAAATCTAAATGATTTCCGGCAGTGTGCTTCGAAGTGCGAAGGGAGCAGGGATATCGGGGCGCAGCTGTTTACCGGGCTACTGCGAGGTATTGGACTCGAGGCCAGAATGGTTGCTAGTTTACAGCCCTTGGGTTTTGGCTGGAATCGCTTGGAGGATGCGGATCCAGAGCCTGAGTTGGCAGAACTGGGCTTGAAAGTTTTAAAACCGGCAAACCCCACGGCCAAGGCAACTGTAGAGAAGACGAACAAGACCAAAGACACATGTGCGGCAAATCGTTCGAGACGACAGCCTGCAAGGCGTTCCGCGGCCGCGATTGAGATCAGCTCAGACGAGATGGATGAGTTACAAAGAGAGTGCAGCGACAGCGACGATGAGGCGGTTGTGGTCATGCAGGTCACTCCGAGGAATCTCAAAGCACCTGCTAGCAAATTTGACTCGGATCTGGAGTATCCCCATTACTGGACGGAAGTTCTTTCGCCAGTGGCGAACAAATATCTGTCCGTTGATCCAATTGTGAAGAGCATCATCGCAACGAATCGCGAACTTACTGAGGCGTTTGAGCCTCGGGGCCAAAAGGCAGACAAGGCTCGGCAAGTCATGGCTTATGTTGTTGGATACTCTCCCGACGGGACAGCAAAGGACGTTACTGTCAGATATTTGAAAAGGCAGGTGATTCCTGGCAGGACAAAGGGCATGCGACTGCCGATAGAAAAGGTGCCGATCTACAACCGCCATGGCAAAGTGAAGCGTCATGAAGAGTTTGACTGGTTCAAGTCTGCCATGTCGGGATACAGGAGAGGAAGAAAAGCCTTTCCAATCACCGAAATAGATGATGATGAAGATTCAAATGACCTGAAGCCGGCGATGCCGAGAAAGAAGGAGGTGAAAGAAGGCGAAGAGACTCTTCAGTATTACAAACAATCTAAAGAGTTTGTGCTCGAAAGACATTTGAAGCGGGAAGAGGCTCTGAAACGAGACGCTCTGCCTGTCAAACGTTTCAAGAACAAGGCGAAGGGGACCAAGACAGAAGAAGAAGGTGTTTATCTGCGATCAGATATTCTTCAGGTCAAGAGTGCGGAGACTTGGCACAAACAGGGACGCGCTCCTCTCGCAGGAGAGCAGCCGCTGAAACGAGTTCCGTACCGCGCAGCAACAACCAATCGACGGAGAGAAATCCTCGAGGCCGAGGCTGCTACTGGTCAAAAGGTTCTGCAGGGATTGTACAGCTACGAGCAGACGGATTGGATCATTCCGCCTCCTATCAGGAACGGGGTCATTCCGAAGAACGAATATGGGTAGGTCATCATAACGTTCAACACCTTTGATGTGGTGTTCTGACCAATTTTCAGGAACATCGATCTCTTTGTCGAGCACATGTTGCCCAAAGGCGCCGCGCATGTCCCGTACAGAGGAGCTGTGAAGGTATGCAAACGACTCAAAATCGACTTCGCCGAGGCGGTTGTCGACTTTGAGTTTGGGCACCGGATGGCTGTTCCTGTTATCCAAGGCGTTGTTATTGCGGAGGAGTATCACGACGAAGTCATGGCCGAGCTTGAAAAGGACGAGGCAGAGCGCCGGAGAAAGGAGGATGAGAAACGGCGCAAAGCTGCTTTGCGGCAGTGGCGGAAATTCATCATGGGGCTGAGAATTGTCGAGAGGATTCGACAGGAATACGGTGAGGTTGATGAGAGCGTATCGGTATTTGGGCACAGTAGAGGACCTGCCTTGAAACCACACGCACTTGGTGCGGTTGAAACCCGGGAAGAAGACATGGCGGGTGGATTCCTTCCAGAAGGTTTCGAGGAGGAACACGAAGAAGAACAGCGTCATACATCCAGTTTCTTTCCAGTTGGGGACGATGGAGATGATGCTGGCGACGATGCAGGCCTGACTATCGAGCATCATTGAGCATAGCCTAGTCAGAGACATATTGGGACGTGAAGATCTGCCCAGGAGGGGCGATGGGATCCTGGACATATACCCATGAATCATGATGAGCTTATTGGGAGAAAATATAGTGGTGAGGACAAGGTGCACTGCAATCTCGCATAACTCGTGCGAGTCGGACAAGACTCAACCGAAATTTGTGCCAAGCTTGCAACAGCACGACCATCCTCTCCCAATCACCTGCCCTTTCCGAACATTTCATGCCATTTACCTCTACTTCCCGTATCCGCAAGCTTATCCTGCCGTGCAGGCTTCTCAGGAGCAACATCAAGCTCCACTGTCTCGTGAATTGTCGATATGACAGCCAGTTCTTGGTCGGGGGAGTCCGGAGAACAGGAAGATGCCAGGAGAAAGAGGCCATTAGAGGTGTTTTTCTGGCGAAGGTTATATGCTGTCGTGTCGGGCGTGCGGAGCACGGCTGAACCGTCTGAGGATTCAAGTGTGAGGCTGTCATGGAGCGGTTAGAGAGAAAACGAGAGCGAGTCGGATGGCTGAGACTGACACTGGCGCCGTATCGGACTCGAGCAGGTTTACTAGATGGGGCGGAAGTTCAAGGAGGCGGTAGCCTGAGTTGTCTGGATTGTGGACCAGTTTTATGCCCTGACTCTGGCTAGACATTGTGGTGGTAGATAGAAGTGACGGGGACGGTGCCTGGTTGTGCTCATGTTAGAGGCCCGGACGTCATGAAGGTGTGTGAGACGGGGGATACCAGCGGCAAAGAGGTGGAGATAACGTGTGAAGTCAGGTACAGTAAACCAGGTCTATAACGATAACCTTCGTGAGCAATTTTTCATCGTTATAACCTGACTACAGGGATTATATTGTTAAGATGCAACTACTCTTTTAGGAAAGGTCTCTATATAGCTCTACTTTTATTAGTAAGATAAAGCTAATAAAGCTTAATAAAGCTTAATAAGAGATTTTAAAGGTAAGGTAGTATATAATTATAAACTTATATATATTAATAAGCAATATTTATAAGAAAAATTGCTATAAATTAGAAGTTACTTTTATATATATAATATATAGAAAAGGTACTTTACGCCTAGGCGTGTGTGCTGAATCGCTATAGCAGGGGATCGTTATAAACCTGCTTTACTGTACAGTAAACCGGGTCTATAACGACATCCTTTGTGAGGCTTTTTTTATCGTTAAGATGCGACTATTGTAGGGCTTAAATTTACTAGGAAAATTACACCTAGCGAGATTTAGCCCTACTATAAGGAAATCTAGCTCTACTATAAGGAAATTCAGCTCTTATAGTGGGGCCTTATAACAATAAAATATATAGTGACTAAGCAAATGTCGGCTAATTAAGGGACTCTTTATAATATAATAGATAATAGATATAGCTTATATAATTTAGTTAATTACTAAGCATAGAATAATAGAGATTCTTAAAGTATAATAGAAGGGACTTATAGTATAGTATAAAATTATGTATAATAGTGTGTATTAAAGAGTATAGTTATAAAGGCTTAATTTCCTCTTTATTTAGTTAAAGAAAAAAAGAGTTATTTATAGGTAAATTCTATAGTAAAGCTGCTAAATTAAGTATAGCTAGTAGCTTAAAATAACTCTAGTAGCTGTTTTCTTCTATAGAGTAAATTAGCCTTTATAGCTTATTAGTCTTTTTATTAAATTCTAGCTAGTATTTCTCTTTTAATCTTAATTATATATATAAAGAAATATAAGTATAAAGTATATTAAATTCTTATATACAAAATATATATAAATGTTTCTTATAGGCAATTTATATACTGTAGTTATTTTCCTTATTTTTATAAGTTGTTTTTTATAGTAAGTAGTATTTACTATTAATATACTTTCTTAGATATATATTAAATATAGCTAGGTAAGTTATAATAAGTAGATAATTATAAATAAAAAATAAAAGATAAAGTAATAAGTAATAAAGATAAATAAAATAAGTAAAAAGATAAATAATAAATAGATATAAATAGATAAAAAAGTAGATATAGCTTATATAGCTAATTTATTAAATTTTTAATAGCTTCTTTAGCTAAAATAAAGCCTTTAATATTAAAGAAGCTTAGCTATTATTTAAAATTATAGAATTTTTACTTTATAAAGAGTTTTATAAAGCTATTAGTAAGTATTTCTAAGGTTTTTAAGTATTTTATAATAAATTTTTTAGAGCTTTAGAGTTACATACTAGGGAGCTATAGATCTAGCTAGATCTAACTATATTCTGCAGCTAATTTAGGTTAACACTAAATTAAATAATAAGCCTCTAGCGTTTATAAAGTACTTATAGAAAAAGCTTAATAAGAAATTAGCTAAAGTAGAGGCTAACTAAAAGCTTATAAAAGACTTCTTATAAATATTTTTATCTACTTACTAGCTAAAGTAGCTAAATATATTTATTTTCTAGCTTAGTTTTAAACTACTAAAGTAGTTATCTTCTATAAGCCTAAAAAAATACTTATAGACTTAAAGTAGACTAAAGAGTAGTACTTTATATTACTACTTAATATTATAAGTAAAGTATTAAAAGCTATAATAGTAGCTTAAATTATAGATATTACTAAGGTAGAAAGTATACTACTAAATATATAGATAAATAATAAAGCTAATAAGTTAATAAAAGTTATATTAAGAGTAGTTACTAAAGTAGTAAAGATAGCTTAAAGCTAGTATAGTATTACCTTACTATTATAACTAAATATTAGTAAAGTATTTAATATAGTTAGCTACTTAAAGCTACTTACTATATTACTTAAAGTAGAAGTACTAAAATAGCTTATAGCTTATATTTAAGCTATTATTAACTTAAAAATAAGCTAGTCTCTACTTTAGTAAATAAATATTAAGAGTATATTAAATTCTAGTAAAAATACTATAAAGCTTGCCTTTATTACTTATTCTCTTTCCTCTATATATTATACTACTATATACTTAGCTTTAAGTAGCTAATATAACTATAGTAGTAAGATTTATAAATAATATAAATATTTTAGTATTTAGAAGAAATATAAAGTAAACTTAAAGGCAGCTTAAAAGTACTTAAAATATATATATAGCTTAAGTAAGAAAAGTAGAGGTTAAATTTAACTTAATAAAAAGTAAGCTACTATACTTAAGCTATACTAAAGAGCTATATTAAACTTAAATATAGTTAAGTACTAATAAAATTATACTAAAGAAGAGCTATAAGTTTCTAGGTATTTAAATTAATAGAAAGCTAAAGTAAAACTATTATAAAGCTTAAATAAAGAAGAAACTAGCTATATAGTAGCTTACTTTTACTATACTTTTAGCTTTAGCTTAAAGTAGTATATACTTTAGTAAAAAAGCGCTTTATATAGTAGTAGTTTAAAGTATTATTACTTATAAAGTAAGTATATTTTATATACTTACTTAAGTTTAAAGTAAGCTTAAAGAAATTACTAAATAACTTATAGTAAAGTACTTATAATATCTTTAAGCTATTACTAAAGTATATAAAGCTATATTTATTTTATACTTAAAGGTAGAAGTAGTAGTCTCTTTATTAAACCTTTATTTTAACTACTTAAAGTATAAATTTAAGAATTAATTAAAAAAAATAAATATAGTAAGTTAAATTTAAACTACTTATAGTATAGTAGTAAAAGTTCTAAAGAAAAAGAAGAAGCTTTAGTAGAAGCTAAATAAAAAGAACTACTAGTAAATATAAGCTTAAAGCTTAGCTAAAGCTACTAAAGCTATAATATAGTAAAAATAGTAATAGTAATAAAATAACTAGTACTAAAATATAAAGATAGCTTATTAATAGTACTACTAGAAAGCAACTAAAAATATATCTCTACTAAGTATACTAAAATAAATAACTTAGCTATATAAAAGTCTATATAAGTATAAAACTATTATATTAATTTAGCTATAAATAAGTAAAATAAAGCTAAATAAGTTTCTTTACTATCAGTAAGTACTAAGTATAAAGTTGCCTTTATATTAGTATAAAACTAAGAAGAAAGATATATACTATATTGTTTTATTATACTTCTTTATATAAATATAAAACTACTAAATTAGCTGTAGAATAATAAAGAAGTTAAATAAGCTCTAGCTTACTTACTTTAAGCTAGCTATAAAGCTAACTTAATAGTTTATTAATATAAGCTATATAACTTATTATTAACTAGTAGTAAAATTAGCTAAAGAATAAAAAGTATAACTACTTAACTAAATACTAAGAGTAGAATTATAGTAATACTAGTAGAATGCTAGCTTACTATTATAGTAATAGTAAAGCTAAAAATTATTAAGTTTATTACTATAGAAAAAAAAATAAATAATAAAAAATACTAAGCTTATAGTATAGTAGCTAGTAATACTACTAAAGGCAGCTTAAGCTTAAGCTACTCTCTACCTTTCTACTTATATTTCCTCTTTAACTTTAAGAAGAGTTATAACTTCTTTAGTGCTTCTTTATACTAAGTCTAGCTATAAAGCTTTTCTACTTTATTATAATAATATAAGTACTTATAGTTTAAAGTATAATTTTTATAACTAATAAATAACTTTTATATTATTTTAAGATTTAAATAGTTTTTACTTTAGACTTAGCTATAGTAGCTATTAATACTATAATTTCTTCTAGCTACTATAGAATCTTTTTATAATAGTTTATACTATTATTTAAGCCTCTAGCTAGTATTAAGCTAGAGATAAAGTAAACTACTTACTATAATATAAAATAGTATTATCTTAGTAACTACTTCTAGCTTCTTCTAGAAGTATAGAAAAATAAAATAAGTCTTAAATATTATATTATACTATAGCTAAATTAAAGCTAGAGAAAGTATAATTCTAAGGGAACTTATAAAGATATAATAGTTATTATAAATATAATAATTAAAGTATAATACTATTTTTTACTTAATAATCTCTTAGTATAAATAAGCTTAAAGCTTATTTAGCTTTAAGCTAGTAGTAGTAGTAGTAGCTATAATTTA